AAGAACAGAAGGTATCAGAACAGAGAAACTCCTCCCCGCTGCTCCACATTCCTGCAATTCCCATGTGCATCAGTGGTTCCTTTGGAAACATCACATTACTCAGTGAAATCAAAGTTTACATCATTTGCACAGGACTCCCTCGGTGTCAGAAGCGCTCCTTGAAGAGGCAAAGAGCCCCCTGAAGAAACCAACCCTCTGGTCTGCCAACATTTCCTAACTTCACCAAGATGTGCTCAGTCAAAAGCTGCACTTAGCTACAGAACTTTATCCCACATCTGCTGAATCTCACACGTGTTCCATTTTCTGCTAAAATGAAGCACCTCACACCCACTAGGGACCTGTTCTCCTCCCCTTTCTCACCTAATCAACGTGTTGACCTTGGCCACATCGATATCGTACAGCTTCTTGACAGCCTGTTTGATCTGGTGCTTGTTTGCCTTGACATCCACGATGAAAACCAGAGTGTTGTTATCCTCAATCTTCTTCATCGCTGATTCTGTAGTCAGAGGGAACTTGATAATAGCATAATGGTCCAGCCTGCAAGAGAGGTCCTATGATTAACAGAGGGCTGGCAGGTGCTTCCCTGCATTTCAGGGGCTTTGTCTGGGGTGCATCAGTCACCTAAGGTTGTAATCACAAACTCTCAGGCTTTGGTCGCTTAAAATCATCACCTGCATCCCAAACCACCAGGACCCCACACCAGCCCATTCACGGGGCTGCTCCCACCCCCCAGACTCCCCGGCAGGGCAGAGCCCCACACGCACTTGTTTCTCCGTGGGGCGCTCTTCCGGGGGTATTTGGGCTGCCTCCGCAGCCGCAGGGTCTTGGGCCTGCGGAAGGTGGGCGACGTGCGGATCTTCTTCTTCTTGTGACTGTGGACCCCCTTCAGGACGGCCTTCTTGGCCTTCAGCGCCTTTGCCTTCGCCTCTGTCTTCGGAGGCACAGCTATGAGGAGAGCTCAGTCAGCACCACAAGGATCTAAAGGGTCGGGATGTGCTGCCCAGCCCGGAATGGCTTCCCCTGGTGAATGAGCAGGAGCTCACCCAGCGGCCCGCCCTCCCTCATCCAACCAAGAAGAGCCCTAAAACCGTGTTAAAAGTCTCCCTGCCCGTTTCCGTCGGGGGAAAGGCACTTATTCCCTCCCCACGCACGAGTCCCAGCATCGAGATGGGAATATCCCCCACCTCCCTCAGACAACCCGGCAGGCCTGTCCCGCCACCTCCACGTGTCCGCGCCCAACAGAGCGCTGGAACCCTGCGTCACTCTCCGCTTCGCTCAGTCCGATCCCCCCACATACACCAGCACCCCGCGGGGTCCCACGCGCCGCCCCGCGCCCCGAACACGAAAACAGCGCCCCGCGCCCTCACCCTCCTTCTTCGCCTTGGGCGCCATCTTGGCCAGGCGGAAGCCGAAAGGGGTCTCCCACGCCGCGCTGCACGGGCTTATACCCCCAAATCTCGCGGGAGCAAGACGGAAACTCCATTACCCCGCCGCCCCAACTCTCACGACATTTTCGAGGCATGCCGGTAGTGGTAGTACTCGTTAACGGACTCTTCCGCGCACGCGCAGTGGTGTCCCGCGCGCCGTAGGGCCTCTTGGGAGTTGTAGTCTGGTACGCTGCTGTCCCTCCCCGCCGTCGTGGCGGTGCGGGACCGGGGTGAGCCCCGGGGTGGCGAGGGATTAGCGGCGTCCCGTTGCGGTGGTAGCAGCGCAATGGCCCAGTCCCGGAGTAACCGGCGTCCTGGCCCCTCCCACGCCCCCGAACGGGGGCGTGGGAGGGGCCAGGACGCCGGTTACTCCGGGACTGGGCGTGAAGCACCGAGCACCGCTACCGGCGCTGGGAGGTTCGTGTTAACGGGGACACCCCGTTTCATTTCCCCGCTGTGGGGACAGGGACGAGGCGGGGAGAGCTTGATCTTGGACTGGGATGAGGCGAGGGGACGGCGGGGTCCGTGCACGGCGGACACGGGACGGGGGGTGACGAGCGGGAACCGGTGGGACACGGAGATGGGGATGGGTGGGACTTGGGGACAGATACATTGCGGGACGCGGGTACAGCGATAGCCTGGGATGGCTGTGGGGACAGCTGGGACACGGGGATGGATGGAACATGGGGACAGTGGTACCTGGGTGTGTTGGAATGTGAGGGCGGTGACACACGGGGACAGTTCTATCCCGGGATGTGGGACAGCCACATCTGAGGGCAGGGGGACGGTGATACCCTGGGGATGGCACACTCGGGATGTGGGGATGGCTGGGACACGGGGACAACTGTGTCCCAGAGTGTGGGGACAGCCGCAGCCAGGGGACTCGAGGTGGCGGGGATGTGGGGACAGCCATCCTTGGTGACGTGGGGAATCAGAACACAGGGACAACCCTGTCCTGAGAAAGTGGAGACTGTTGGGATAACGGGACAGCCCCACCTGGGGACGCGGGGACAACCATATTTCAGAATGCTGTTCACGGGGACAACTGTGACATGGGGACATCGCCACTCCTTGCTCTTTCTGTCCCCAGACCTCGCGGTGACCCTCATCCCATCCCTGCTCCCCCGGCCACCCACGGACCATGAACGTGCTGGCTCCGGTCCGCAGGGACAGGGTCATCGCCGACCTGCCCCCGGTGAGCAGGGGGACACACCAGCCCGGGGGTGACCTCCCCGAGCCCCGTGGTCACCCCGCTGTCCCTCTTTGTCCCCCTCACAGTGTTTTCGGAAGGAGGCCGCCCTGCACACTCGCCCCGCCTTCCACCCCACAGTGGCCAGCGCCTGCCAGGAGGAGCGGACGGGCACTGTGGGGTCAGTGCTGCGAGCTTTGGGGTCCCCACTGTTGGCATTGGGGGGGTGACAAGGGGCCCGCGGTCCCGCCAGCCGCGGGTGGGGGTCCCCGGCGTGGGCGCCGCGTGGCTGCCGGCGCTGCCCGGTGCCGAGCCCTGCGTCACGACACTGGAATGCGGAGCGGGGGGGACACGGGGGGAGCACGGGGCGGGAGCAGACACGGGGGGTCCGGGATGAGCAGGGCCGGGATGCGGAGCGCTGCGGACACGAGGGGCCGTGGGGTGATGCCCGCCCACCCCACGAGCCCCTCTGCCCCCAGGGTCAGCCGGGGGGTGCCCCCCACCCTGCTGAGCTGCGCGTCCCCCTCCTCGCTGCAGGTTCAAAATCTCCAAGATTATCGTGGTGGGAGATCTCTCGGTGGGGAAGACCTGCCTGATCAACCGGTAACGGGACCCCCGGAGAGGCTTGGAGGGGGATGGCGAGTGGGGGGAGTGACCCCTCTCCCCCATAGGGCAACATCACCTTGGGCTGAGCCCGGCTCCAGCCAGACTCTGGTGCTGGGCACTCCCGGGAGGTGAGGGGAGGCACTGAGCCTCCAGGGGGTTGGGCTGAGGGGGTCAGGGGATGTTGATACCCCCCTCATCTCCCCCACAGGTTCTGCAAGGACACTTTTGATAAGAACTACAAGGCGACCATCGGGGTGGATTTCGAGATGGAGCGGTTTGAGGTGCTGGGGGTGCCCTTCAGCTTGCAGCTGTGAGTAGGTGCCAGCCCCCTCCCCACACACCCCTGCAACCCCCCCTCACCTCCCACACCCCCCAGGTGGGACACGGCTGGCCAGGAACGTTTCAAGTGCATTGCCTCCACCTACTACCGGGGAGCACAGGGTGAGCTCCCCACTGCATCCCAGCTGCCCTGTCCCTGTGTCCCAGATCCCACCTTGTGTCCTTGTGCCCATCTCACCGTCCTTCCTCCCCCAGCCATCGTGATTGTCTTCGATGTCAACGACGTGGGGTCCCTGGAGCACACACGGTGGGTGACACATGGCACAGGAGTGGGGCCAGGGATGAATGTGAGGGCTGGACAGAGAGGGGCTGAGGCTGCTGTGGTGTGTGAGCACGATGGCAGTGCTCAGCCAGCAGCTGGTGACAGTGGCTCGCACAGGCAGTGGCTGGCTGATGCCCTAAAGGAGAACGACCCATCCAACGTGATCCTCTTCTTGGTGGGCTCCAAGAAGGATTTGAGCGTGAGTGTGTCCCCCTCCCTGTGGGCAAACTGTGCCCTGGCTGTCCCTGTCACCCACCCATAGCTGGCTTGGTTGGCAGACACCAGCACAGTACAGCCTGATGGAGAAGGATGCTCTCAAAGTGGCCCAGGAGATGCAGGCAGAGTACTGGGCTGTGTCCTCACTCACTGGTGAGTCCCAGCTGGCTGGGGAGATGCAGACTCCAGCGTCAGCCAGGTCAGGGGACACTCAGGGGGTCTCTTCCCGTGGGGCAGGTGAGAACGTGAGAGATTTCTTCTTCCGAGTGGCAGCCCTGACCTTTGAGAGCAGCGTGCTGGCCGAGCTGGAGCGCGGCAACAACACGCGCAGGATCGGCGACACCGTGCGTGAGTAGCCCTGGCCAGCCCCACGTGGGTGTCTCCCTTGTCCCCCCCACCACCCACCAACCCTCCTTCCTCTGTCCCTCAGGGATCAGCAGCAAGGAGAGCGACCTGTACCTGTCGACGCCCCGCAAGAAACCCAAGTGCTGCCAGTGAGGGGACAGCCCCAGCCCCCTCCGTGCTCACACCTCTGGACCAAAGAGGGGCGACCCCGGCCGGCCCCGAGGAGCCGTCCCTGCCACCCCCAGCCCCCCCTGGCCCCTCGCCTGTCTGGGCATCCCTGGCTGGGGCGGGCAGGAGCACCCGTGTGGCTCCTGTAGCTATGCAAACCCAGGTACTGCTCACAGGGGGATATGCCCTCAGGCTCCCTTTTGTCTTAATAAAACCTTTTTTATGCTTTGTAAGAAAGGTGTGGGGCTGGCGGCAGAGGGCTGGGGCTGGTTGTGGGTCTCCCTATCCCTGGGTGCAGCCCCCAGGCTCATGGGCAAGCAGGAGGATGCCTGGCTGCCTCTGAGGAAGAGTTCCTTCTTCCACCGAGGAGCATCCCTGTCCTGCAGAGCCAGCAGCCCTGTGTCCCTCGAGGGGGGCTGCAGGGGACACACGAGGTGCCAGTCCCACATCAGTCCCAGCCCAAGTGGTGCTGGTCAAAGTGGGGCTGCAGGCGGGGAGGGACACAGTGGGAGCACTTGTAGCGCTCCTGGATCCACTTCCCTCCCTCGCTGTTCTCCATGCAGATGGCAGCGACACCTGTGGGGACACACAGGGGGGCTCAGCGCTGGCCACCACAGCCTATGGGAATGGTGGTCCCACTGCACCCATGGGTGCACCCTGGGGTGCCCTCTCCTACCTGCCACGACCCCCCCCAGCCGCTCCACCAGCTCGATGGCCGCTCTCATGGTGCCCCCAGTTTCAACCCACTGGTCCACGAGAAGGATGCGCAGACCTGGAGCGGGGAGAGGCTGTGGATGGGTGCCCCGTGCCCACACTGGCAGCCCCATCAAAAGGGGAGCTCCCCACTGGCTCACCTGGTGAGATGGCATCGGTGCGAACCTCCATCACCTTCTCCCGGCCCGAGTAGTCGCTGTAGGGCTGTGCCATTGTCTGCACACAGAGGTGCCCGGCTTTGCGGATGGCCAGGAAGCCTTTCTGCAGGGTGGCCGCGGCTGCTGCGCCTGGAGGTGGGCACAGCACTGTCAGGACCCCCGGGGACAAGGGACAGAGACCCTGCACTCACCTGTGACCTGTGTCCCCCTCACCCAGGATGAAGCCCATGGCGTCAATGCCGGCCACCATGTCAATGGCATCTCCCTGGAAGGGCTGCAGCAGGTCGGCCACGCAGTCCTGCAAGCCCTGTGGGGAGAGGGGAGGTGCTGGGTGCCCGCAGCCCATCATGGGCACCCACAGCTGGGTGCCCCAGCAGCCCTGTGGAGATGCAGCCCACCCTGTCACCCCCTGGGTGCCATCCACCCCGGACACTGGGTACTTGCGGGTGGCAGTAGAGCCGGGAGGGGTCCAGCCAGGCATAGTTGGGACCCTTGACGTTGGGGGCCATCAGTGCCAGGTACCAGCCCTTCTCCCGGGCAGCAGGGACGTGGCACAGGTCCATGCGTGAGGACTGCAGGCACTGCAAGCACTGAGCATGAAGGGGGGGTGAGACTTCCCCCCCTCCAGCCTCCCCAGGGCTCCCCATGGCCTGGTGCCCCCCACCCACACCCACACGTGGCACCCCAGGGCCCAGGGTTCCCGTTCCAGCTCCATACCTGGGTGCTGGTGGCAGGGCTGAGCCGAGCAGGACCGTCACGGGAGCGTCACAGACAGCGACAGCTGAGCAGGGGCAGCCCCTGTGGCACTGGGCCAGCGCCCTTGGCCAGCTGGACACTGAGACAGCGCCAGGCAGGAACCCTTCCCATGGGCCAGTGATGTCCCCCACTAGCTCTGCTGTCCCAGCCAGGCAGTGCTGTGGTGGGGAGCGGCGGGGCTGTGGTGTTTGCACCCCACAAGGGTGTCCCCAGCACCAGCTGCCTGTGCCAGTGTGGGTGGCACCCTGTGGTGCAAGGGTCAGCGAGCCAGGGTGATGCTCAGTGGGATGTCGTGCAGTTTTGGGTGGTCTTGGGCAGCTCAGGAACTTTTTGAGACCACGCACGTCCCCGTTAGGGTGTCCAGGCAGCGTCCTGCCCTACTGAGTGCTGGCTCCCACAACATCCCACTGAGCCAGGGCTGTGTCCTGACTGTCAATGGACTCCAAGGACAGGAGCTGGCCAGGAGGGACAGCCCTGGCAGCGCTCTGGGAATGCCGCTGTGGGCTGCCAGCCCGGCTGGGCGCCGGGCTCTGGGCTGTCCTGTAAAAGGCACATCTGCAGGATGGGATGCAGGGAACGTCCATGGGATGGGACACGGGGATGCAGCAGCCATTCATGGGGTGGGATGTGCAGATGTGTGGAGCATCCACGGGAGGGGACACGGGGATGCAGGGAGCATCTGTGGGCTGGGATCCAGGGCTGCTCAGAGCATCCATAGGATGGGACACGGGGATGCAGGGAGCATCGTTCTCCCGTCGGGGGCCGCTCCGGGGCCGGGGGCTGTGCGGGGGCCGGTGCGTCACGGGGCGGGGGTTTGGGGCCGGCTCGTTACCGGCCCCGGCACATCACCCCACCGGCTGCCACAGCAACGGGGCCGGTCCCACCGGGAGGGGTGACCCCTTCCCCGCGGGCTGCCGGCTCGGGACGTGCCGCGGCGGCGGGAGCGGCTGCAGCACCCCGGCTCTGCGGGACCCTCCGCACGGTGCCGGGCCGTGCCAAGCCGTGCCGGGCCGCCCCGCGTGGGCGGGCTGCGCCACTCTATAAGGCGGCCCCACGGCGGCGAGCGGCGCGGTGCCATGTGCGCCCCGGGGCTGCTCTGCCGCCTCCTCCTCCTCCTCATCTTCTTCCTCCTGTTCCTGCTGCCACCCGTCCCCGGAGCGGCCCCGCCGGGACGGCCCCGCGCCCGCCGCGGGCTCACCTACCCCGGGACGCTGTGGTGTGGTGCGGGCAGCAACGCGGACAGCTACGAGCAGCTGGGTAAGGGCGGCAGGGATGCTGCCACATGTATCTTCCCATCCCATCTGATCCCACCCCTTCTCATCCCATCCCGCTCCCTTCCATCTCTTCCAATTCCGTTCCACAAATCCCTTCATCCCATCCCATCCCATCCCATCCCCAACCCAGTGCTGCTCCATCCCAGCCCAGTCCAGACTGACTCAGTGCTGGGTCAGTCTCCACCAATCCTAATCCAGTCCCATCCCAGTTCTGGTCTCCTTCAGCCTCTGTTCCCATGCTAGTCCAATCCCTGTCTGTCTCGGTTCAGTCCTCACCCAAGCATCAGTCCAATCCCAGTTCATCTCTGCCTAGTCCTTATCACAATCCTTTCTGGTGCTCTCTGGTCCACTCTTGATCCGTCCTCTGTCTCTACCCTATTCTGTGGTCCATCCTGCTGACATTCCTGTCCCATTCCTGTCCCCTTCCCAATACTGGTTCACTCCCAGTTGCTATCTTGATCCCAGCCTAAACCTGCTCATGGTCCAGCTCCAGGACCCCAGTCTAGCACCAGTCTCATTCCCAGTGTGATATTGGTGCAGCCCAGTCCCCATCCTAGTGCCAGCCTTGTCCCCACTCAAGTTCTGATCCAGTTCAGCCCCTACCCATCCATCCTTACCTATCGCAGTATGATTCCAGGTGTGTGTCAGTCTAATCCAATCCTGATCCCAGTCCTAGCCTAGCTCAACCCTAGCCCTGCATGTGGGGCCCCTAGCCCTGCCTGTAGCCCACGTTTCCCTGCAGGGGAGCACCGGGACACGGACCGGTGCTGCCGGGACCACGACCACTGCCAGCACGTCATCCACCCCTTCACCGCGCGCTATGGCTACCGCAACCTGCGCTGGCACACCATCAGCCACTGCGACTGCGACCTCAGGTGAGCGTCCCCAAACCTGCCCTGGGCCACCCTGCCATCCCCCCGCGGGGTGCCAGCCCCCTGAGCCCTGCTCTGCCCCGGGCAGGTTGAAGGAATGCCTGCAAAGGGTGAACGACACGGCCTCGAGGGTGGTGGGCCAGGCCTTCTTCAACGTCATCCAGGTGCCTTGCTTCGAGTTCACCTACAGGGAGGAGTGTGTGGAGCCCTATCTCTATGTCTGGTGAGTGCCCCCCGGCCCTGGGGACCTTCTCCCTGCTTGGGCTTGTCCCATCCTGTGGTGCTTCCTCAATTTTGGCAGGTGCAAGACGTACAACACGGTGGCCGTGGCGGTGCCCCGAGAGCCGGTGCTGTATGAATTTGGGGGGGAGCTCATCGACCGAGCAGCCAGGCCCAGGGGAGTCCCCCTGAGCCCCCCGTGGGGCAGCACAGGGGGAGGAGCACTCCCGGTGGATCATCACACCCCCAAGGCAGCCAAGAAAGAGAGGAAGAGAAAGAAAGATAAGAAAAATAAGGGGAAAGGTCTGAAAAAGAAAGGCTCTTCTGAAAAGGGGGCACGGAGCCATCCTGCAACTGCTGCCCCCGCTGATCCCTGGGCCCTGCTGCCATCCTTGGGGGAAGCATCCAACACCATCCTGAGCGATGCCCCTGCACGGGAGGGATTGGGCAGGGAGCCAGCGCCAGCCACTCCTTCCCCAGTCCCCACCACCAGTGGGAAGAGGAGGAGGAAGGAGAGGAACAGAAAGAAGAGGCTGAAAAGTAAAACCGAGGCTGAACCTGCAGGAGAGCTGCAGCTCTGAGCCCTGTGTGGCTGTGAAATAAATTTACATCTGCTCAAGCAGCCTCGGCTTTGTCTCTGTGAGGGAAAAGGATGGCAGTAGGGGCAGCATCCAGGGGAAATCCCAGGGCTGATCCCGTGGGAGGGGAACACTTGGAGCTGTGTGGGTATCCAGAGGTTTGAGCTGTTCCTCACTGCTCCCCTCAGTTCATGTCACTGTCCTGGCCCTGGGGACACAGCTCTTGGCCACATGCTCATTTTAGCTCCCCTGCTAGAGGGTTAAATTCCAGCTCCCCAGACATTTAATTTTCTCTGGAAGTTCTCTGAAATGCACCACCCAAGCTCTCTCATTCTCTTAACCCCTTGCCTTTCCCGTGCTCCCACACCAGCATCAACTCCTTCTCCCTTCCTTTGGGAGGAACAGGGTCTTGGCCCTCCCTGAAGGCTCCTCAAATGCCTGCAAAGCTCCTTAGAGTGGGACAATAGATGCTTTTCCAGGCCTGGGACAAAGGCAGATGCTGCCTGCGAAGAGCTGGGGCAGAGAATGCTGCCTGTGTCCCTTCCTGGTGGGTGGGGATCCTTGATTCCACCAGATTCCAGACTTGGAAAAAGCTGGAGCACAGGAACCAAGCAGACAGCAAAGCCCACACTGAGGAGCGTGCAGTGCAATCCCAAATCCGTGAAATAAGCGGATCACATGAGTCCAGGGGGGAATTCCAAGGGCAGAGGAAGGCTTTGCTTCCTCTGTGGGTGCAAAGCCCCCGTGGCAGCCGCAGCATCCCGACAGGAAGCACGCACGCCGGGCATGCGGACGAGCTTTCCAAAAGTAGAACTTTTATTGACAGCAAGGGAAAACTAAAAACAAAGACAGCCAGAAAGGAGGCAACAACACACAACTAGCCCCCCGCTTCCAGGTCCAATCCATAAGGAGCTGCTCCCAGTCAGATTCCTATCGTACAGTCTCATGAAATAAGAAAATAGCGCCAAGTTCATCCACCTGCAACCTCGGAGCTGTGAGCCCCAGCCCACGGCTCTCCCCACTGGCCTGGGTGGCTTTGGGAGGAACAGGACCCTGTCAGCCCCTCAGCACTGCAGAGGGGATGGCATTGAAGCCAGGACCTGCATTTCTCTGTGCAAAGAGCTTTGCTTTGTCTCCTGGGTCGCTGCCATTCTTCAGGAGCATTTAGATGCAAAGAAGACCTTTGTTTCCTAAGATCTGCTGTTCCTGCTCATTTCCTAGCAAAGGAGGCTGACCAGGAGCACTGGGAAGGAACAAAGACTCTGCTTCCATAGAAAATCCCTACTAACAAAGCAGGAGAGGGGAGAGTGTGTGCCGCAGGAACTTTCCCTCTCAGAAATGTCTCTCCCGTCGCTGGCAGTCCCTCAGGAACATCACACTGCGCTGCTTCTGACACAAGTTATCCACTTTATCCGCCCCATCCCAGTGCCCTCCCTATCCAATAGCCACAGGGAGGTGCCCCCGATGTCGGTGTGACGGCTCCGTGTGGTGCATCCATAACAAAATCTTATTGTTTAACAACAGAAATCGGCTTCTCTGTGAAACTTCCAGCACACAGAGGGCAACACCAAGCAACAAAGGAAGAAGGAGCATCGACTTCCACCAGGCAACTCTGCTCTGAGCAAATCCTAAGGGGAAGGGCAGGGTGCAGGCAGAAAACCTCTGAGCTAGCATTCAGTAAAAACGCTATTTATTCACCCCTCTTGGTTACAGCTGGGCAGGGGAAGCAGGTACAGAGGAGGAGGCCATGCACTCCGGGCTGCTCCGTGGTGCTTTACTCCATGTGTCTGTCTCGGGGAAGCTGCCGTAGGCTGGCGCTTTATTTCGCAGTCTGATAAAAAAAAAAATAATAGTCAAAACTAAA